CTCCTCACATTAGCCCCCCAGAAGTGGATCACACAGCACTGCTGCCCTACTGCAGGTTTTCCATAGGGGCACATGATGGGCTTGGATAACTGACACAGGCAGTAGGAGGGATATTGTCAAAATGTAATTTAGTAAATCTGTGTCATTACTTCCTATTACTGTCTCCAGCTGTAGCCCAGCATTGGAAACATCAAGTGTTTCCAGCTTCTTTTTTTGTTTGTTGGGGTTTTTTTTTGAGTATGGTCAAACTTGTCACTGCTCCTGACTGGTCTAATGCCTTTTTCCTGCCCTTTGAGCGTTCACCTCCAAGTGACAAAGCACAGCTTTTATTGCTTTGAAGATTGATAAAGATAACTTATATCTTATCATCTAAATCTCATCTACTTCTGCACAGTTCAAGACATGTGCCACTGAGCCAGTTCTACAGCACAAAAAAAAAAAAAAAAAAAAAAAAAAAAAAAAAAAAAAAAAAAAAAAAAAAAAAAAAAAAAAAAAAAGTTGCACAGTAAGAATTGGTGTCATTTTCTAACCTTTTTTTTTTTTTTTTTGTACTGCCTATATTTAACTCTTTTGGTTAGAGTAGGGCTTGTCTATTTCAGCATCCTGATAGGGTTGATTTCAACACTCACCAGTGTACCAGCACAGCTCAGATTACTGAGCAAGGTAGTTACGATGGTCTGGGGCTCCCCCTAGGCACACTCAGCATCTCTGCGGGAGCAGCTCACTTCAGCGTGGCATGCACTGATGTGCATAGTTTTTCTCTTTCTGTAATCAAAATTAGTCACAGCAAGCTTAGGAACCCGGTGTTCTCTGTCACCAGAAACTGCCATGATAAGAGTCTTGATTGTTCCTCTCCTGGGTATCCATTGCTATGCGTCCTTCTGCAACCCTGGGTACCCAGCAAAATCCATCCAGCAAGTGTTTAGACATTAGTGTGCCACGGAAACTATAAATGTGAACTAATTGCAGGCTGGCAAAATGGTCCCAACGGTGACAAGTCTGGACGCAAAGCCTTCCCTCCCTCCCATCCTTGCCAGATATCTTGGCTCCACCCTGCCAACAGAAGAGTCTAGCATTGGGTGCGGATTGTGCCATTACTTATCTGGATTTCCTGCCAGAGGGCTACTAGATGTGTTCTCTAATGGATCCAACAGATCAAAACAGATCCAGCACATCTCATCTCTTTCTGAAGTCTCAAAGGGAGAAAGTGACATCTCCACAAACGTGCCAAATCTTCACCTCCAAAATGCTGAGCCCTTGGTTCACACTGGCAGCAATGAAGTGCAATAACACAAAGGCTGTAGTAGGTGATAGGAAACTCGGATTCTGATCACTTTGGGGTAGCCTGCCTCAACAATCCTGTTAGGTCTCACCTCTAGGTAGCAAAAATAAGACTACTTCTTGTCCTCCTTTCACACGCCAATCTTACCTTTCAGACACTTTGGCTCAAGCTGCCATTCCTCATGGAAGTCTCTGCTCAGATAGGTTTATGGCCCTGTGGTGAGCTCTTGAGTAGACTGGATTCCTTGATGCAAGGTTAATCTGTCATCATAATTACAGAAATGAATGGTCAAAAATCCTCCTTGCCAGACCACCCCCGTGGATGAATCAATCTGCATTTTATACCATCCCTGTTACTGCTGTTTCTCTGGTGTTTGGAGGTGAGCTCATGCTGAAAACCACCAGCCTGGCAATTAATAGTCTTATAGACACGGACCTTAGAAATTATTCCTAGACTGGAACCTTTGCCCAGTTTTATTGAGTCACTCATAATGATAATTTATTTCCTCTTTACTGGGGGAAATCCCTGTCTCTCTAGTCACCTTTTCATTCCAGTTTTGTGCCCAGTTCAGTTACCTGGCTCTTACTACTTTCTCTTCTGTTCATGGTGAATAAAACCACTTTATCCATGGAACAGCATTTCCTACGGCACTGAAGATAGTGAAGCTAATTTAAAACACACACACATGGATCCATGTCTGCCTGCACACACCTGTAGACACACACACGTGATCAAAATTCAGTCCAGAAGGAAAACTCTGTGAACAGGAAATCATGACAATGTACAGTGAGTAACAAAACAAAGCCTTACTTTAAACACCTGGAAAAACAGATGCTGAGAGGGTGTGAGCCAGAGGTTTGGAATCACACAGATCTCCTTTGCATTGCATAATATCATTCTAGACAACACTGGGCAAAACTGACCACAGAAAGTCACAGCATGAGGAGAAGCAGAAAAATCTACCATGGTCTGCAAGACAGACCACAGGCTCACTGAGAACTTTGCCAAGGGAGGGAGTTTCTCCCACTGAAATAGAAATTTGAGTTAATGGCAAGTAGATTATAAAGGAATATTGTCTTCTTGCTCACATCCATGGAATAAATGCAGTGGTTCTTGTTGGCATGTACCCCTGAAAGACATACGCTTGTTTACTGGGAGAGAAACTGAGGGTTCAAATGCAGCCTTCAAAGGAGGGCTTGGGTGGGGTCAGAGCCCCAAAATTTCTGACAACCTGAAGCTCTCGGAGATGCCGATAGAAATTCTAGGTGCTCAGCATATTATTAGAGGCGCACAGAACCCCACAGCACCGAGACAGAAGACAACTGTTTGCTGCCTGGCATCAGAGCCTCTTGCACCAAGCAAGGAAAGAGTGAAGCAAAGGAAACACCAATGCCTTTGGGCCTACAAAGGAAGACCTGGAGAATAGAGTCAGTGGTTTGCAGGGTTAGGACTGGAAAAGTCATGGTGAACTCTTCCAGGACCTTTGACTCTTGTATTATGTTCCCACTTCTAGGTGCCCTGTGGGGTGAAGCCACATAAACTCTTGGAGCCATACAAACTCCAAGAGGCTGCCCAAACCTGCCTACACTGTCAGATCTTTTCCAAAAACCACACAGCCAGAATGACTCCAGCACGTACTTTCTCAAGCATAGTCCTTCTGCTCTCCACCTCTTTTTTCTCCTGAGAGAAAGCCAACCAGTTTATATTCTCTGCCTGATAATCCATCATCTTAGGTAAACGATCAATTCACATAATTGGAATGCTTAGAAACAAACAGAAAATGTAACAAAGTTAGCTAAAATAGGTTAAATTCAAGATAAGTATCTGAAGATCTGAAGATCACAGTAGCAAACAACAGAAACCAGCAACATAACTTGTCCCAGGCACTGATCATTCTTGATTCCTAAAGGCACCAGGAACTGTTTGATGCTTCTGTATCCCTTGTAAAATTAAGATCAGTACTGATTTAGAGGGCCCTGAGGGAGCCAGACCATAATTTCATCCAGCTTAACTGTCCAGCACTTGAGACTGTCCTGCCCTCACAGGTTAAGGAGTAATAGCCCAAAGCATTTAAGTCTTCTGTGGGCAGACAGCTTTTGGGAAGAGACTTACCAAAGCAAGGCTCCATGGCCCGGAGATCAGCTCTTCCTCTCTTCACCCTCATCAGCTCAGCTTGCTGTCACATTGTTGCTGAGGTCAGCTCCTCCCCACCAGCTTTGCCCAAATCTCTCTGCCAGAGATTTAAAATCACTTGAATTTTTTAAGAGATCCAAGAAAAACAGTCCCAGAGAAGTGAACTGGGACAGGAAAATTATTGACATACTTACTGACAAAAAATAGATTTTCTTTAGAATTGGAAATATATTGCTTTCAGTTTGGCTACTCACAGAAAGTGCTGCTGGGAATGTACCAGAAATACATACCTACATGTACTTTACTCTCAAATAATGGCAAATACAACCAGTACTAGAGATGCTGAGCACACGATCTGTATTTTCTCCTCCTGGTAGTACTGCTCTGAAGTAGGAAAAATCCTGTTGAAAATACAAGGCATCTATATCGGTGGCGTGGATGGAGAGAGCTCAGTGCTTAAAGAAAGACTTTGAGTTTTTTTTAGTGACAAACAAACAGGCACATTCCTAAAGAGCAAGCTAAGGGCATCAGTGTAGTATCCCTGCGTGTCACCTGCAGTTAATATGGGATAGGGGTAAATATCCCAAATGTGCACATCTATCTACAATTTACATAAAATACAGTCACTAAAAACTCTGTATTCTCAAATTAATGAATAATTACCTCAAAGTCTCAAACACAGTAACAGTAATTTTACATGTTAATCTAGTCAATGTTCATAACTAATTTTATTTTAGAGTCTTGTGGTATTTCCAATACAGTAGTTCCATACAGAGCCTGAGTTAAAAAGAAATAAAAAACTGCCAGATCTTTACAGCTTTGAGTTCTACTGAAGGCCATCATGAGGTCAGTCTTTGTGATGTTCTCTCTTGAGAATTTTCCAGCCCTATCTCTCTAGATAATGTTTTTCTGTCTTTGGACAGTTTTTCTTCCCAGACCCTCTCATTACATGCAATAATACATCTTCTGTTTCAGTTTAAGGCTATTGTGCAATGTTCCACAAGTCACATCTTGGAACCGGAGTGCTCAGTTCTCTTCTTATGCCCTTTTCTTTTTCTTTTTTTTTTCTGCATTATTTTGAAAACATCTCTGCAGTTGCAGAGTAGTTAATTCCGTTATTTCTGGAAGTATTTCTGCTTTCCATCTACTTCACGTCTTTTCTGCCTACATATATAGGCAGAGAATAGCAGTAGCAGCAATACCTGCGTTTGAGTGCTGCCCCTCTGCAGTCCCCCTTTGTATGTTCTCGTTTCTTACTCCTTCTACCCCCCAAACTCCGGGAAGTACCAGGTACCAGCTGCTGGAGATGCTGTGCCCCCTCGCGTGCGTGTCTTTGTAAAACTAAATGTGCCAATAAAAGTACCTGTGCCGATCGCCAAAGAATAGCAAACATATTCTTGCGCTTGAGAAACGAGCTGGGAGATTTTCCCACTCTTCCAGCCTGTAACAGGAGCAACAAGTCATAACTTTCCGTACTGCGGCCGCCAGAGGGCAGGGGAGGCCCCGCCGGCTCCCGATGCTCCCGGCAGGACTGCGAGCTGCATCCCGAGGGCCGGGAATCCCCTTGGGCACGCTGCTGCGAATGTGTGAGCGATCGCTGGACGAATAGGGAAGAGAGGCTTCCTCGTCGGAATGAGCCCTTTAGGGCATGCAGGGGGAAAAGATGAACAGGTGAAAAGGAGTGGACGAGCAGGTGTGCCACAGCTACAAGTCAGAGGAGGGATGGGCATTACGACGAACCAAAGCTCCGCTAAGGCTTCAATAGCATGTCTCTAGCAGAATCCGGCGCGTCATTCTGAGGAACAGGGAGGCAGCACCCAGCGTGAGCGAGGTTGAAATGACCCACACCTCCACTACGTGTTACGGGGTGCCAACCAAAATGTGACTTTAGCTGGATGCTGTTCTTTGTGTTCATCCTCCACAGTCCTTGAAAACTCCTGAATTTTCAAGGGACTGAATGAAAAAGTCTCTTAAGAGAACTGCAGGTTTTGAACAAGTCATCTCCATTACTTGCAATCCAAAATTCTCCTTTTTAGTAAATACATGGAATCTAGGTATGTATTTTCTCATTGCTTCAACCTAGAAAAATGCACAAAACAAATATTCCGACATTAAAGCTTTATTCATTCCAGGACTTGGCAATAATGCATAAACCTCAAGTCAATAGCTGTAAGTGAACTGCACACATTTCTCACAGTACATTTAATTAAGCTCCCAAAGGTTTTAATTTTAAAAGACTTTAAAATTTTTATATTCTCTCGTTTCTTTCATAATACAGAAAAGAAGAGTTCTTTACATGGTCTAATGGGAATATCTACAAGAAAGCATTAGGAAGTGCATCTCCAAGCACCTTTCTCTCCCAGCTCAGTTACCAGATTCATTTCCTTCATTGGTGCTCAACCAGCTGCGAGGTCTGAGAAGTGCATAGCGCATTTTCAGCACAAAAAGCGTCATCTACATGGATTTAAAAGCTGTGTGTGTATATAAATAATAAAGTGTGGTGATAATTTGAGGCCATCTAAACAAAGGAATCCAGACAAGGAATAATTCAGCAGCTCATCAATGATCCCACTAAATAACTGTTCCTAATGATCTCACTAAATAACTGTTCCCAAGGCTCAGTCACACTACGAGGAACAGAGGACAAGTATACTTGGCATATACCGGTACCCACCCTAACTCTGTTTAGTCCTGTAATCAGGCAAACAATCAGATAATAGTTACAATGAGCTTTTTTGCACAGCGTATTTTCCTTCCCCAGGGAGCCCCTCAGCAGAGGGGACTGAGGCTGCCCCTGCTCCCTCTTTACCTTTCCAGGACCCAGGCTGCAGACAGAGCAAGAAGGAGAACCCCTCCATGGGTTGTCACACAAGCACAAAGTGCCTCAATAGGAAACTGTTCCAGCCAGAAGATTTCAAAACAGTCACAAACATCTACTTCTTTCTTTAGGCTGTATTCCCTCAAGGTCATCATGATCAGTGTTTTCCCTACTAGATTGAAATTTCTTGAGAAAATATATACCTCTCAAAAGGCCAAGTTAGCTGTTATTGTAACAGTAACATATAGTATCATTTTGGAAATAATGACAAATTATTGTGGAATAATTTTTCTGTCAGTGAAAAGCAGCCAGAATGCATGGAATTTGGCTCCTCCAGTAAAAGTATCAAACATTTGCTTTATGTTCCACTTTCTAAGGGAAAAAGAAAAGAAAGAAAGCTCATTTTGGAAAGGTCAGAATTTACATGAGGAAAAGGAAGGCTTAAATCCCTAAAGTGCAGCAGGTTTAACTCTGTCCCTTTTAATCATATGGACTGTAGGAGCTTGGCTGACACCAAATTAAGGAAAACTGAAACCAGACGGTGTAGCTGAAGACTTCTATACTGATCTTTTAAAGCAGCACTGGCACACTTGAAGGGAGGTAAAACAAAGCTATGTGAGGAAAGCAACAAACTGCAACCTGGAAGCGAGAAGTTTCAAAACACTGAGATCTTTGGTGGCTGCATGATAACAGTAGCTGGCAATCACAATGTACAGTGAAAATATATTCCCTTCTCCATTAAGGTTTTTCACTCTCTTCCCCTTTCCACCAGCAGGGGTCCCACAGACATTACGATACAGTAAGAACTGACTTACAAATACATGGTAGGTTATTTTTCAAGTCGGAGTTAATGAAAAGTCTTCCATTGCAAGACATCATAAAGCTATTTCAGAGATATTCCTCTATCAATAAAAATTTGGCCCTATTTAATGGAAGCTTGGAAAGTACACTGTCAAGTTAAATTTGTACCCATATAAAGAAACTCACGTTTAGAAACCCATAAAACTAGTAGGAATGTTTACACAATTTAAAAACATTCCAGTAAGGACTGTAGATATTCAACAAATCAGCTTGTCATAGTTTGAAGCCCAAGCACTAAAACACTAAGTATTCAGTAGTATAATTTGCCTTCAAACATTTTTTTTAAAAAAGGTGCTCTTTGTTATCAACAAAAGTTCCTGTAAAAATACATGGGTGAGTACTGAGTGGGCTACAGGTTTGCAGGGCAAGATCCTAAACAGGAGTGGTAGTGGTTGTCATGTCAACTGAGGACTGTGATTATGATTTATAAATTTGCAGTAGCCCTTTTAACGGCACTTTAGGTTTCAGGATATTAATCTGGTGACGAATTATGGCTCCAGTGAAGTCAACAGCAAAAATTCCCCAGTGTACACAAAGCAGCCCTACTGCTTTTGTTTCCAAGACTGCCAATACTCACATACAGAGATTTTACTAAATTGCTTGCATAGTACAGCCAAAATATGTTCTAAGAGGTGATAAATTCTTCTCCTTTTTTAGCAAAATCCCTTTAGAGGAGCACAGCAACTCAAAACTGGCTTGTGTCTCCTTTCTGAAGGACACCACCTAGTTTCACTAGCTGCAGGCCACCAAATACCTCAACATAGGGCTGCTGATGAGGCATACTTTGAAAAGTGTCTCTCATGCAGCATTCTTTTCTTCCTAATGAAGGTAGCAGGAAGATTTCCTTCGTAACGGTCAGCCCACTGGAGCCTGAAAGTCAACCCAGATCCTTTTTTAGGAGCTATTTTACATGGAAAATGTGATACCAGTTTTACTAATGGTACACTGGTAAGAAGAGAATACACCTCAGCTTCTCTTAGTGTTGTTATTAGACTTATGAAATAGGGCCTTTAAAAGCCCAGTTATCTGTGTTGCTACTTTAGTCAGCAACCAAGACTCAGCATACATAAGAAGGTCAAGAAAGAGAATAAGAAAGTGTCATCTTTAGAGGGGCTTTCATCTATCATAAACATAACCAGTACAGCAGAAATTTTCTTTATCACTTTTCCCAACAATCCAGAAGGAATGAAGAGAATTGTCCATTTGTGTCACCAGCTCACATCAATGCAGTTACTAGATTTTATGATTTGTTTTCTAGCTCTTCATAAGTATGTTCTTCAGGGGACAGGGTTCCCACCTGGTTCAGTCTGATTAATACACATCTAGTGTAAGTGAATCTCAGGTTCAGGTGTTGATAATTCTTCCTATTTGTCTCCTGGGGAAAAAAAAAAAAAAAAAAAAAAAAAAAAAAAAAAAAAAAAAAAAAAAGAGGATGAAAGCATGAGAAAGACAATTAGTTTGTTATCTAGGGATATTCTCCACTGAGGTTCCTTCACTCCCTTTTCTCTGAGTCCAGGAACCAATATTTTTTATGCTAAAGAGAGCATCATATAGAAGCTCCTTATTGTTCTGTTCCTGTATGTCCTATTACACTGCCCCTCCTGTTCCAGTGCACTCCATTTAGAAAGGACATCAGCAACAAGATAAAGGTGTCCTGTAGTAATTTACAATTATAAGTGACAGTGAATATAAAATAATAAGTATCATATAGTTGTCTGATAAATGCAGTTTTGTCAAATTAATTCGTTTTGTTAAAGGCCCTTGCACAGGGCCAAAGTACTTCCTCCTGATCCCTTGTGGGTACTGAAGAGTGTCTCCAGTGGAGAGAGCATTTTGGAAAGCGTACTCAGGATGTATGTGCAAGCCATAGGAGTTCTAAAACCATGGCAGAGACTGCCAACACCATGAATTTACCACATAAGACAAAAATGTTCCCCTCCTCATGGGAATTTCAGAGCAAATCTACCACCTGAAAGTCTGCATGGGGAACTCCATCCTGGTTGTACACGAATTTTCTCAAGAAGTAAATTCCTTCCTCTTCAGAAACATCTTTCATATCCTTAAAGAAGAAAAGCGAAGAAGAATGATATTTCCACCGTTCCAGAGATAATCCATGACTGCAGCCCCAACGGCTGTTGCAGCCCCGGTCACAAGTCTCATGCTGTGACTGGGCGTGCAAGCAAAAGGAACCAGCAGTCGAACTAAAGAGGACCAAAAAAGGAGCCTTTCCAAGTGACTCACTATAAAGGATAAAAAAAGGAACTTGCATAGATAGCTAAGGTCTTTGGAGCACTAATGATCTCCTCTGTCTGCAACCCTGCTTTGGAAATGGGAGCCAGCATCACAGCATGTGGGCAGATGACTCTGGACAGCTTTCTCATGACATATCCCTGGCAACCCACCCATGTCTCAGCAGCTTCCTTGGTCATTATCCCACTGAAGCAAGACACAACAGGGAACATTGAACCATGTTCCAGATAACAAGATCCAAACTGTACGCAAATTGCTGTTGTGACATAGAAATTCCAGGATCCAAGACCACCGACAAAACAGGGGATAGAGACTGGTTGTTTGGCAAGAAGATCTTGCATGGATTTTGGTATGGAGGATGCAAATCAAATTAAACATGTTCCTGTGCTGTTCAAGACAACAGTTGTGTAACAGTGCTAGAAATGCTGCAAAGTGTCCACGTCAGAACCTCCATCACGGATATATTTGACATCAGATTAGCAACAGGGAGGACTTTTTTCCTACAAAATTTTGGTCCTTAGTGTAGATACAGCCAAATAGGGTGAGTCCACAGGTCTTTAACACTCCATACAGATTGTCTCAGATCTCCCACACATCTGGTGAGTATAACAACCTCTGCCTTTCTGACCTGGGGTCTCCAGTTGTGTCTAGCCCACAGCCTTGCAGGTATGAATAGAGACAAATCAGCTGTTACAGTTCCAGACCTGAGTCCTCACTTGAGCTTGTTCCCTCTGCCTTTGCAGCAAAGATGCGTTTGTTTCTGGGTAACTTGACCACATACCAAACCTGTACATTTTGTACAGAGTGAATGAAATCAAACAAACCTGCACAAGAGCTAATATTAGCTGGGCCTCAACTACTCAATACTCAATTTACAATCCATTTAAAAAGCAGTGCTTTCATTTAAACATGCAACATAACTAAAATGTCAGCTATTGTTACTAAAAGACAAAAATGTGACTCCCAAACCTTCAAAAATCTCAAGCACCTAAAAGCCACAAAACATGTCTGAAGACATCCGTTCTCACAAAGCCCACATTTTAAGAAGCTATAAAAAGCACATACTTCATCACAACAGTAATGGTATTTGCACACAACTTTATCAAAACTCAGCACTACATACTTTCTTTGCTGTGAAACACCAGCAAACTCTTTCTCAAGAAGCAGCAATTATCAGCACTTTCTGAAAAAGCATTGGTCAGAGGATATTACATCCCTAAAAGCAACTTGTTAAATCCACGGATCAGAACTGAAGTTCTAAGTCAACATTAATGGTCTTATGTCCAAGGGATATTTCTAAGTTGCATGAAGTTAAAAGTTCTGCACTTAGTCTCCCACATTTGTTTTCTGTGAGGGACATAATATAGGGACCACACTGTCAGTTTAGCAGCTCAATTGTTTGGTTTGGAATTATTGATTTGTTCCAATTCAAAGTTGTTCTGGAATTGTTTCAGCTTTCCTTTTTGACCCTCAAAAGAGCAAGATATTTTCTCTTTACACCTAGCTGCCAAGATTCAAATCTGTATTTTCTGTGTTTCCCTGGTAACAGCTGGTGATGTCATAAATTTACTAAATGGTAGAGGGAGATGTTATGCTCTGTGCAGCCGTGAAACTCTGGAAGAGAGCTGCTAGCTGGCTCTCTGCCCAGCTGCCAACACCATTCACCTTCTCTGCCTGCCCAGCTCTGTATCTGGATCAATTTGGAGAGTTCCCCAGAAGGCCTGATTCCTTCTTGGCAATGGGAGTGGGAGTCACAGAAATTATTTCTACTGTTTCAATCTTGAGCGCTTTGTCAGCTCAGTTTGCTGAGAACTGTTTTCTAAGCAAGGTTTGTATCTGAAAGGACACTCAGAGTGTTTTGTTAGTCACCAATACAGCTGCCAACCTGCTCAGAACTGGCAGTGGGCTCCACTGCCACACACATCACTGCTGTGGGGACCAGGGAGCTCCTCTGAAGGGCCAGACACGGGGTGGGTGGCAACCGGTTCCTGATCAGCCTGTGTTACTCTGCCTGCATAGTACTGTGTCACACAGGAAAGAGTTGGGAAATGGAGGACTAAAGAGAGCAGGTATAACATTCTGGTGTCTTGCTGGGAGAATGACATCCAGAAAATGTGCATCCTTCCAGTAGAATCCATAATACACACAGATGCACTTCTTCACGGGAAGTTTCACGTTATTTCACAAAAGAGCCACCTGCAAACATTATAGAATATACGTGAGAGGAGAAAAGTTTTCCCATCACTACATACTAGGAGGTAAAAGCAACAAGCAACAATCAGATAATCAATTACATGTATAAAAATTCTGTTATTTGTTTATGGCAGTCACTTATTTCCCAGCCCATACAGACAATGAAACTGGCATTCCAGTCATGAGATATGACTCACAACTACACTGAAAAGAAAACAGGTTTGCATTTTATTCTGACAGATTAAGCAAAGTGCTATGTATTCTAATTCAGGGCATTTCTCTTTGAGGAAGAAGCCAAGGGGAGAGAAAGATTTAGGTATGTTACAGAGCTATCAGTGTGATTTGAATCTGATTTTTCTAATGATTTTAAAGCAAGATCCTTCTAGATCTTCCAAGACACAGTCCCTTGTCATACTTCAACTGGACACTTTGAAGTAAATAGGAGGTAAGGGAATTCTATACATAAAACACTCAGGAGGCAGCTTAGATGCCCATGACTGAGAGACAAAAGTGATTTTACATTTTTCAAGGTCTGTAATCCTTGCAGGTTAAAGACAGATCTACCAGAAGCAGATACAAAATTTCTGCAGAAGTTTCATCAGCACTCTACAGAGATAATGTGACTCTCTAGTTTATGCCTGCTTTGGAGTTCTGATGTATCTAGAATGAGGAAACACCACCTGTGCAGTGGAAACACCACTTCATTGCAGTGCCAAATGGCTGAGGTACAACAAGCAAATCCAGCTCAGATGTTCATACATAGTTGTGTGACCTTTACATTAATCTTGTCACCCAGGGCTTTACTGTGGGAGATCATCATATGGATAATTGTACCTAGTGTCATTTTAGAGTCGATGGATTGCCCATCTCCAGACAAAGCACAGAAGTTTCACTGGTGACCCCAGCTCAGCCAGACAATGAGAGTTACAGGAAAACGGAAGAGATGTAGACGAGCAGGAAAATAATGGCAGCTTTTGCTTCTCCATTTCACTGTTCAGATCCAGTTTTGACAGCTGACAGCAGAGTTGTGTCTCACAAACTCTTGTCATAGGGGGTATCCCAGGAAAGATCAAAGAACTGCACCTACTGAGAAATACTGCTCTTGTCTAAAAGTTTGTTCCTAAATTTTGGTCTAAAGCTCTTTGGAAAGGCTCACCATCTGACAGCTGATGTCTCTTCTTTACCTCTTCCTTCTCCTCAATTGAGCAAATAATGAGTTTGCTTGGTATTTCACCGAAAATTAATAAAGTAAAATTACTTTGAGAGATAGGACCCCTGTTATTTCCCTTCTTGTTTATACATCTTTAGTTTAGAACTAAGTTCTTGCATGAACCATGAAGAAAACAAAACAAAAACGCACAAAACCCAAAACCCCTAGAAAAATAAGACTAATTCAGAGCAGAGTGATGAACTCTACAGCACTCCTTAGAAAAAATGCCTAGGAAGAATATTACTGCTAGAAAAGCAATCATCTTTCCTACTGGTGCAGAGTGAGGAAAAGAAAGCCCTAGGCTGAATTTGGTCTCAAGTTTATTTTATTAATTTCTGTTATTAAATCATAAAACATTTGAAATCATTAAAAGGCCAAACTGGACAGCTGAGACCAATTATTCAGGAAAATAAAACTATGGGAGAGGAATCCTCTGCTGAACATTAGAAAGAAACATGGGGAACTGCCCAGCTTTGGTCTTACTGAGGATATGGAATCATTGTTGATATTTTTAGCATTTTCAGCAGTGATGGCTAATGGACATCTCTAAACAGAAAGCAATTAAGGATTTAATGCCCCCCCCAAAATGTTTTGTTAGCTTCTGTAATAAACATCAGAGTACCTGGATCTTAGATCCAAGAGCCAAATAAATATATAATGATTTCATTATCTATAAGAAAGGGTGAATTGTATCTGCTAACACAGCATTAAGAGCAACAAAGCGTTAAGTGCATCACCACGTTGGCTTAGAACTAGGTAATGTCATATTTTACATCAAGTGTCCTTACAAAAGGTTAATGAAGGCAGGTTGTGTTTTTCAAAATAATTGTCAAGTTAATGTTTAACGGTGTGACAGTGGTGACATTGGAATGCAGGAGTGAGGGGTCACATAACATTAGAGAGCTGACTAAGACAAATTAGGGGTAGCATAAGATGTGTAAGCAATGCATAAAATCTACAAGCACATATGCATATTTTATGTTTTGAAGGTGATACTGGCATGCCTCATGGTTTGAGGGAAGAAATGCCATTAGAAAAATAGATCTCTGTAGCCAGTTTAGCCTTCTTGCTTCTGTCAAGCACAGGAGACATTAATTGTAACACAGTGAAGAGTGTTATCCTTGAGAAAACGATGCAGAATACTTGCATAATTTGAGTATAAACTTAAAGCCTGTGGCTTTTCTTATGCAAATACAAGATTTCCAGTAATAATTGCAGCTGATGTCTTGTGGCTTTTTAGAAGGACAAGGCTATTTAAAAATCCCAGATATTAAACTGTGCTGTCTTCACCTTTGTATAAAAGGTATCAGCTTGATAGATGGAGCTTACTGCATCTTCCTTATCAGCTGCTATATTTGCAGAATGTGCAGAACACAGATGTTCTCCAATGGCCACAGAGTTGTCACAGAGTATTTTCACCTTGGGGACCACTTATTTTTTACTTTTCTGAATGAAAGAGATTTTAAAGCTTCCTTGGCACTCAACAAAAAGGAGATCATTCTTCTGTACTAAATAATAGTAAGAAGTGGATGGAGGCCCACTGAAAAATACCATCTTGGAGAAATTCTGAATTGGTCTCTTTATTTTTCTGAAGCTGAGAGGTGCTTCAGATATCCTCCAAACCAAGGGTAAGAGCCAGATATACTGAAGCTTGAGATTCCTCATTTTTGTGTTTTTCTTTAGTAAGGACAACTTAACACTTTGCTTTGCTAGCATAAACTGGCTTTCTTCATGCATTGTACCTGGTATGGAGACTGAAACCAACATGACACATCCTGCCCTCCTGAAGCAGCTGTTCCGTACAAAGAGGTCCCATTAACAGAGCCAACTGCTGGGATATGAATGGAAATCTGTTCCTGAAGAGGTAAGTGTTGAAGTGACACCATTCCCATTGGAAGCCTCATATCACCATGAGATTTTTAGTCAAAAGAGACTTGTTGTCACTTTATTATGGTTCTGTCTCCATTCTCCCTTTCTCCCATCTTTTCTCTTTATCACATATCACAGTTCTTGATACTTTGAGATTATTCTGTCAGGCATACAATTACCCCCTTGCTTATGGACATACATACCAGCTTACCTTGCAGGGAACCCTGGGTGCTGCTACGTAGAACAGCCAAGTTCACACTGACAGGCAGGGGGAGGCTCTCCCTCCACCCTTCAGCGATCTACAAAGAAGAAAAGACCTTTACTGTAAATCTCGTTCATACTCTTTCTCTCTCTCACTTAAAATGGCTTTAGCCAGGGGCAGCTCTAAATGCACTGTAATGTTTTGACACCGGAAAAAAAGACTCACTACGTCAATGCCAATCCATTCATCAGCTCACACAGCAACACGGCGAGTTCTGGTTAACAATGTAGTTACAAAAAGATGCTGAGTAAGGACAGCATAATTCCTAAGGCAAATATTTCTTCTTTATTGTGCTCCATGCAGTGGTATCCACATCCAACAGAGAAGTTTTTAAAGCACTTGACAGCTGGATTTCTGAATAAGCACATTTCTCACTTCTGTCCAATACTGCACTTCAGTAAGATCACATTGTCTAAACTCTGCTGAGATCAACACTGTAAACCCCCCAAAACGAAACTGAGCCATCAAATACCACATCTAATTTCCTATATACCTGCCAATGAAAGCCAGACAATTGCAGGTATGTACGCTCCAGAGTAGTAGCTACACACTGAAGATGCGCAGGGGGTTTGGAGTCAGCAGTGAGCAGATTCAGTTGCTCTCAGCACTGCATTACTCAAGCTACCCTGAACTTATAATGAAGAGATTAGTCACAGAAATTTTTAAACAACCAAAAATCAAAATATGGTTAAACCACAATAGTTCCCATTTGTGTCTGGGAAACCTACTTTTGTTAATTATAAATAACAACTGAGTTGCAGTGGGAGCCTGTACTTTACTATGTACTAACAAATTATTTTTATAAGGTCATATTACATTTTCCTATATCATCAGTATTTACAGACATAAGAACATTAATAAACTATGAGCGTGTCAATATGTATATATATCTGTGTGTGTGTATTTACAATATACACGCTAACATATATACGCTTCTTTAAAACTCTGTGCACTTAGCTTGGAAAAGCTCCACTCTGAAACCTCAAGGGTGAAGTGGAATAGCTTTTCTTGTACAGAGTAAAAGATATTAGGAGCTGTCTGGTGTAGTGTCATTCGTGCTCCAGAAGAGATACTTGACAAACCCCAATAGGAGATTGTCAGTAAAGACATAAGGCAAAGTTCTGCTGGGGGAAAGAGTGACTTTCACCACTAATTGTCACTGACTTCCAGCCTTAAGTGTGCAAGGAGGAACCAACTCCCAGTTATTTCATTTGTGAGTGTTGGCGCACATTTTCCCTGGATTCTTGCCCTTCACTCATGCCTGCCACCATGAACTGGGATTTACTCCACTCAAGCAAAACCAGTGAAAAAAGCTTCAGATATTCCATTTGCTTTTCATGAAGAGTATTTGCAGTCACTCTTTACCCTTTTATGATGACAAAGCAATCTCGGAATTTAACTTGATCAGCTCCTTCACCTTCTTCAAATACTGACATTTGACACAATTGCCATCAGGAAGTTTGAAAAATAACAGGAGCAGCAATAACAACTGTGCTCTAAACTTGCTTCTTCTGATTAGGAAAATGTAGCTGTCAACAGATAAGAAGGTCGTGTAAATTTAACACCTTTTTTTTTGAGACCTCAAAAGGCCACTTACATGACAAAATACATGTCACAAACACTTCTGGTGCTGAAGGGCTGAGCAGGCTGCAGGCAGAACTAGCACCAATACTCAGGAGCCCACAGAAGACTATGAATATGGCTGTGCTGAATGAGATGCAGTCAAAATCCTAAGGCTGTTTTGAAGCAGACATGCTTTGTAGAACAGGAATGTTATGAAGTTCTGATTTCAGTTTTACCTTAAATATTATTCATATGACATTTCTCACAACAATCAAATATTCTTGTGACAAAGCTCTAATACTGGCTAAATGAAATATATAGAATATATAACATTCATTGTTTACCCTTGCATAACAACTTGCTCTACTTTTGGGTTGCTGGAACTATTGTACCAAAAGTTTATTTAAAATAAGGAACAAAACTTCTGAGTGACAGTGTATTCACGTAACTGGGAAAGGAAGAAAATAAAAGTAGAAGAGCAAAGTGATAGCTTTGATCAGATTGCCAGCAATTTAACATGAATGTATCCTTAACTATAATATAAAAAACCCTTATCAAACCCTATCCCCCAAAACATCTTACTGGAGACATGTCTACTTTTAACAGCAGCCAGCATCTGACAGAGGCAGATTTCATCTTCACCTTTCACATACAATGAGAAGTGGGGGGGAAAAAAAAAGAAATCAAAAAGAAGAAAAGCAGCAGATACATTTGCTGTTCTCTTTACCGTAACAAAGCTTATCTTACTTGTAGGTTTTGGCCTTCAGCCTTTCCTGCTAAGCTGATTGAACTCTTCAGGAAATGGTGCATGAGGGGAGGTTTCCAGTCAACTCTGTTGAGGAACGAAAGATTCCCAGGAGGGTGACGATAAGCTGAAATGATGGGCTATGATAGGAGGCACTGCAGATATAGAAAGGAAGAACAAACCAGCTTCAGCTAAAGACATCCAAAATGTATAAGTCTGAGAGTACATTTAGAAACTATCAGCCTGGAAAGATGCCTGCTTCAGCAGGAATGACTTGTCAGGGGCAAGCAGCCACTTCAGGACTTTTTAATCAGTATTTCACAACTGCTGCACTGTAGGCATTCCTCCTGGCAGCATTACTCACTTGGCTGCCCATATGCCTGATCATAATGGGTGTTTCTTGGCCATGTTATTACTTCTATAAGGCAGCAGCCTTCCAGCTGCATGACATATGTAGCCCACAGGCATGTACTTTTAACATATGCTACATCTTGCCCTCTACACTGTTCCTACTAAGCCAACAGTAAATGAGGAGACTGGGACTGCTCTGTCCTCTTAGCAGTCAGTAAGTCGAAGAGCAAAAACTGAAAAGGTTCCAGTGCTGCAAGCCTGGCCTGAAGGATTAGGAACAGTAGGATTAAGCACTGTCATGTGTCTAACCAGGCCCTCATGCTGAGTGTTCTTGCCTTGTCTTTTCCTTGTAAATTACCCTTTTTTTAACCTACTTTCTCCTTTCAAATAGAGAAGTGCTCCAGAGTACTCTTGTAAAACTCATTCTTAATAAATAGTCAATGACATTTTAAATTAGATAACATCACTGTTGAGCCCATGAGACTTACCAGAAGGTGCAGTACAGATGTAAGATTTACATGAGCTATTCCCGATTTATACTCATTTAAGTGACAATTGAATCAGAGCAGCATTTTTTCTGCAGTCCAATATTAAAGACTTGGGTGTTTTACCTGTCTGGCTGAAGAAATTGTCTCATTCCCTTGGTTATTCTTAGTCAGTTTTGATTTTGCAGTTCAGATAGGAGACTTGCATTCTGCTGGATACTGGAAATAAGCATTTGATTGTGGAAAAACTCTTTTGTTACTTCTCCATTGGGTCATGTATAAGACTTCTAATCCCACCATCCAGTATTTACTGCATTCTTAGCTTCAGGTTAAGCAACAATAGAGATCTCTAGTTCATGGAAATGAGAAGTGGAAGCAGTTAGTCACCCCTAGCTTTCCTCACTCATGTATACACCATATAGATATGTACCCACACAACAGAATCTGCTGCATTCAAAACTCAGATGACCCAGTGAATCACAGTCATGTACTGAAAGACTTAAAATAAACGACCCTTTTCTGAAATAGTAGGCCATGAAACTTTACTTTGTGCTGGGCATTAAATGGGACCTGAGCAACCTGACTTCCATGCTACAATATGTTTCCAAACCATTTGGGCTTATGGATTTGATAGTTTTCCTTTCATATCTATGCATAGTCTGCACAGGGAAGGAGGCAATATACAGAAGGGGAAATTGCTCTCCTATCTCTCCAGCTGTCTTCCCCACAAAGGTGTACGCTGTAGTTCTCCATTTCATGATAAGCTGCAGTTTCACTCCTGATAGAGCACTGTGCACAGGCTCTGCACTGCGTAGGAGACTCGGTCTTGGCAAAAGGAGAGAAAAAAAGAGGCTTTCAATAACTGACTTTTTTTAGCAACTTCAGAAGATCTGGGAACAAAAGATCTGGCCTGGCTGTACAATTGTAAAACTGGAACACGGTTTATGAAAGTCTGCTCTCATCAGGAGCTCTGAATCTCCTCTTGAAAGGTTGAAGTCCCCTCAGCGCTGGTGAGAAGCAGCTCTTTTTCTTTTCCCAATGTCTTTTGGCAGAATTTACTTCCTATTTGAACCTGGGATTAATGCCAGGCTGTTACTGAAGCGTTCAGACCTGCCGACAATTTGTCAAACCTCTAAACCAGAGTAAGGCCACAGTGCAGAGAAGCAGGGTAAATTTAGCCCATGCTGAAGTCCCACAGCTGGATTCCTCTGCGATACCCCATGCAGTTCACTTAAAACTAGCTCAGGAACCTGTGACAAAGGGATGCTGCCCTGAGATCTGCTGCCTCTTTAAAGGGCAGTCTTGTGCTCTTGACAAAACACCATCAAGCAGGAATCCTAGAAGTCCTTTCTGTACCCTCTAGCCCAAGAGCTTTTCTGGATTAACCTTTCTTAGCTGAAATGGTGAAAGGGGCCTTTCCGTGGTGGTGTTTGTAAGGTTGAACACCACGTGCCAGGGCACTGTGAAGGCCAGAGACAGTGGGTGTACCTGGGGTACTTGTCCTACCACCCCAGCCAGGCACCAGGGAAGTGCAGGGGGCAGCTCCAGCCATCAGGCAACAGCCTGGGCATGGGGATAGGACCAGGCCAGGCCAGGATGTACCCCCATGGGCAGGGTCAGGTTCAGGTCTGGTGCAGGGAACCAGGAGCAGACACAGCTCCAGGATGGCTGGACAGGGTCTTGGGGATGGAACTGGTCTTAGGTCAGGACAGAATGTCAGCATGCAGATCAGGCTAGGCTTGGCATAGCCATGTCTGCAGAGCTGGAGATCAGCTTCCTATGGTGCCAGGGACTCAAGTGGGATTCAGATCCACGGGTTGGGCTGAGGAGAGGCCCCAGGAGAGGCTGGGGAGGGATGGTGAGGGCCCGTGTTAGTGCTCCACAGCCCTGACACCATGGAAGTCACACCATGTGCTCTCAGGGCTATCACAGAGAAAGGACTGTGCAGCTGCCTGACACTAGGCTGTAACCATGTTTAAAAGGTTTAAAACACAAGGAGGGATAAATTAAAGGCAAGCCTCCAGCAGGAAACAAAGCATTTGGGTTTGAATTTTTTGCAATTGGCAGGCAGAGGGCATACTCAGACTAGACCTAAATATAGCCTTCTGTCTGCTTAGAGGCTATTTATTCTTTCTGTCTCCTGACACCAGTATACACAAAATTTACTTAACCTGCAGCAAATGCATCATTCATGCAAAACCATACAGTCTGTTTTGGAGAAATCTGCAGCCATTTTAAGTAGCTGTCAGTGTGCTGGGGGTGAAGGACTGGCCAGCAGAGTCATCCATTTCCCAGCAACGAATAACAGTCCTCCTCCCAACACCTGAAACTGGTTCTGGGAGTTGGGAAATAAGACATTCAGAACCAGTCGAGGTAACACCTAGGCTATGACTGACAAGAATTTTCCACCTGACTGATTTTTCCAGTAAAAAGTCACAGATTCTGCTCCCCTTTCAAAATCATTTTTTTTCTGTCAGCAAAGCCAGAACCACAGCTCTCTGCCCAGCTGCCTCTAAAGCTTTTGCAGTTTTGTACCTGCCTCCAAGTAAAGTCTTTTTTGGATCCCTGCATGTATAACTGCATGGAAAAATTAGCAGCAGTGAAAATTTCAATGCAAAAGCATTATTTTCCACATGCATAGACTCTACTGTTAGTGATTAAACTAGCAGCCTTAATCTTAGCTCACACATTCATCAAAGAATTTTATCATATATTAAATAGTGCAGCACGTACATCCTCAGTTTCACAACTATTCAACAGGTGGAAATCTGACAGGTCCTTAATTTTTAAAACTGAACTATTTCACACCGAAGACTTTGTCCATTTGCTGGCAAAACTTGTTAGCGAATGCAGTTAGTCAGTTTAAATATATACTGTATGTGGTACACAGAAACATTATTCAATTAAGCATTTACTAAGATAACTTTTTTCTTTGCAATATCAAGTTTTTCTATAAGTAGACACACTGTTAAAAATGAGCTGCACAACTAAGTCCCCAGAGGTGAGGTGGCTGCCCCAGATGGTGGGGTCCCCACCATACTCACATGAGATGGTCCTGGGAGTGTCTATGGCCCATCAGTACCCCAGCTGCTGGAGTCCTCAGCCTTCCCAGATACTGGGGTCCTTGCTTTTAGGACGTGGTGGTGATGCTGGAGATGCTGCCCCAGCCATGGCTGTACTTACTGCTGTGGCTCAGTGTCACCCTTGCATGGCCCAGGGGAGCACAGAGACTTGGGGGGGTTGGGGCACCAGGTGATGCTGCAGCAATGGCCAGAACATATCGAGAAGGAGTAGTAGGCAAAGAACTGGGACAGAAAGGAGAGAGGGGGGTCATGGTGGGACACTGGGAAGAGGGGCAGGGACAGGAACACAGGGACATATGGTGTCTATAGGATCCCCAAGTGATTTCGTCCTTCCCAAAGCACAACAACCCTAAAAGATTCCAGGATAGGTTGGTGAGTGAGAGCCCAGGAGTTTC